ATCCGATTCTACGTGCACTTTCTTACCATACGTGTATTGGTTGAATCGCTCCAGGCTGAAGTGAACTGCCAAGAGTTCGTTTTCTATCTGAGCATATCTTGATTCAGCCTCAGTTAAAGATCTTGATGCGTCAGGCACGGGACAGTTGACTTGCAGTAAGACTCCGCCAAGGCCTGTTGGTGAGGCATCGCAACTGACGCTTACTAGTTTTTGTACATCAAAAAACCTCAGAACGGGACCTCTATTCACAGTTAAGACACTCTTAATTGCTTGAAAGGCTTTGTCTTGTTCATGTGAGCACTGAAAGTCAATGTCTTTCCGCATAAGCACCCTAATAGGTTCAGTGACAGATGCCAGACTGGGAATGATTTTTCGGAGGTAGTGGACTGTACCGAGTAATCTTTCAACTCCTTTCTTGTCAGTTGGTGCTGACATTTCCTTAATGGCAGGAACATTTTCATCATCGGGCTTGATCCCCTCTTGAGTAAGTTTGTGACCAAGGTAGGTCACCTCCTTGTTTTTGAAGACACATTTTCCCTTGTGTAGTGTCAAGTTCATCTTCTTACATCGATCCAGGACTGAGTTTAGATTACAAACATGTTTCATTTCCGTGTCAGCGTGTACAATTGTATCATCAATATCAATTTCAACACCTTCCAGGTCACCAAAGTGTTGACTCATTCCCTTCTGAAAAACTTCTTGAGCAGATTTAATGCCAAATGGGGACTGAAGGTGGTAAAAAGTTGACTCTCTTCATCTAGTGGTATCTGCCAATAGCCTCGATTTAGATCTAACTTGGTAAATCATTCTGGATTTGCCATGCGGTCGTAATATCTTCAATGGTGGGTAACTGAAAGTGTTCCCCTTTTGTGGCCTTGTTCAGGTGTCTTGGATCCAAACAAATGCGCAAACTACCATCAGGCTTTTCAACAATGGCCACTGAATTAACACAGTCAGTGGGTTTTTTGACTTTGCGCATCACTTCTCGCTTCTCCATGTCATCCGACTCTGCTTTCACTCTCTCGAAGTGCGGCTGATATTGTTCTAGGAGGGTTTATAAGTGGTGAAACACAATCTATTTCAGTGTGGTAAGGTTTCTCTAAACGCCCCAGTCCAGTGAAGACTTGTGCACATTTGTGAAAGACCTCTGCTTTCAATTCTTGAGACGTCTTTGTAGTTTGGCTGCTATCATCAGTGGTGCTTTCTTCCCTCTCTGCTTTTGCTGTCATGACAACTTTAATTAGTCCCAAGTTTTGTGAGGAAAGAAGTCCCATTAATCCTGGCTGATGTATTTCCACAACATTGAATGTTAGCTGCTGTTCAACATCTGACTCACAGGTAGGTTTATGATTCCTAGCACCTTGAGATTATTTTCTGAGTAGCTAACCAGCTTTTTGTTGCACAGATCCATTTGGGGGTTGTCCCCTTCAATCTCCTTGAGTTCCTTTTGTGGCATCATGTTCACTTCTGAATCAGTATCCACTTTTAGTCGCATGAGATGTCCCTGTACTGGTAAATTCAGAAAGCACTCGTCATTCTAATTCTGAACTTCTGTAGTGACTTCTCCTACAAACAGTGGAGGCTCACAGTCATCCACTTCTTCTTCTGCCATTAGCCCATGGACTTTCTTTTGTGACCAGCTCGTGCTCTGGAAATGATGCTGTTTCTTGCAACTGTGACATGTCTTGCCATTTGCTGGGCATTCTATTCTATTACACAATGTCTTGTGCCACAATTTCTGCAATTAAACCACTAATTAAAAACCTTTTCCAAGTTCAAAAAGAGAAAGAAAATTTCGTTGTCGCTTGTTTACGTCCTCCGTATAACGTGAAGTTGTGCATCGTAGTCGTGCAGTAACGGCAAGGAAATGTACAAAAAGCGTGATGTGCACGTGAAAACTTGTTGTTTGCACCTATTACTTTTTTGACGTTCTCGCTATCGTCGCTGTCGTCTTGTTTTTCATAAGACGGGATACTCGTTTTTCAAAAAGGGCATATACTGATCATTGGGTTTAACTTTTGTATCACATAGTCATGATAGGCTCCTGTCCTGACTTAACCCAGCTTGTTGCGTAAGCAAAGTTTTCTTTGCGATAGGGACGGATAAGCCAAAACCATTTGCATCCGTCTCCACTTTGTTTGAACAAGGAGAGTGAATGTTCAGAGAAAACCATATAGAGACACTAAACCGTGTTGTTTGAGTAGAATATTGAAATCTGAAAGAATTAATAAGTAACGGCGCATAGATGTCAATAGATGCTAGTGTATGACAGTGGATATTAAAAAAAAACGAACGGGAATAACAATGTAAAAAACAGTGTCTCCGGTATATGAAAGTCTATTCATTTGCCCTAGTTAATTTCCAACTGAAGTTTCTTCTGTATCCATCAAATCGACTCTCCGATCTTATGGTATGTGTTGCTACGTACCTCCAAAGCTTGTATTAATGGCCAAAATGGATCCTATTAATCAAAATATTTCAAATAAGAGGTCACACTCCTTTAGCTGAATATCTCCTCCAAGTGCAAAACTCGACATTAAAATGCCATTAAAACCGGTCAGGAACAGCACAAAAAACGACAAGTCACAACACTCAGGTACTTTAAACAACGTTTATTTTTTATGTGTGAATATTCATCACAGGATATTATGATAATGGAAACCCTTTCGATTTTCATTCTACAATTTACAGTTTCAGTTGATTAATTTAAAACATGCGGTCACTCAGTTTGCGAGACCCCCTTGTTTATACAGAACATTCGAAACTGAAAGTGTTGAATCAGCTCCCAGCACGCCTTGTTTTAGCCGCACCAATGAGAGGAAGACACGCTAAGCAAAACTATCCATACGCACTAAATTTGCTGTATGAAAAACGTAATGTTTCATTCAGTTGATGCTGAGAAGCTATTCACACAAATACTATCATTGCAAGATGAGAGTCAAAACCACAATGTTGATGAGCCTTTTTCTGCTTCCCTTTCTGGCGAGACAGAACGCTGCCTCGTGGAGCAGGGTCGTCGGTGTCGGGAAAATCTTGTTAGAATCATTCACGTCAGAAGATACGCAAGAAACAGATCTCATAGCCACGGAAGAACTCGTGCAAGGTCTTACCTTCGACAAGTACAACGAGGGAATTTATTGCAAAATCGTCACCAAAATGAAAGAAAACTTTGAAAGAACAATATACAAAATTGCAACTTGTGACCACATTCCAGATCACATCCGTGACTCGCTCTTGGATGGAATGGACGGTGAGGTGAACCAAGAAGTTATCCGAGAATTTTAAGAAAGTTCCAGAAAGGTCCTTTATGGAAGGACCATCACTGTCAAACGTGAAGACTCTACAATCGATTTAGCTTACGCTATATTTTCCTTGGAATTTAAACTGCCATCAAAGAAAATTGAGAAACGACACAGAACGAAGTTCCTTGGACTAATTACTTATGGATCCCATACCGCTGTCCGCTTTGAAGAACCAAATTTATCAGAGAAGGACAAAGAACATTTTCGATTTCTACCGCATGAAGTTTCGCAAGGGATTTAAGAAGGAATATCCAAGTGTAGCAACTGAAACTAGAAGTGAACTGTGAACTGTCGACGTAAACCATATCATTAGCGATGTGCCTCTTTTTTGTTTATTTCTTGCGACTGACACAAGTGGCAATCAGGGCACAATCAGTAGTTACATGTAGATCTATCCGTATACATATCTGTCTCATTTCGCTAGAACGTAGCCACTAGATTTTCGCCTGCGCCCGGCACAAGGCCAGTCCGGTGTCGAAAATAGTAGGGGGCTTCCCGGCTTGGTCGGTAGAGCTGGATAGCCATGGACTGCCCTAACAGTGGGTGGGTGGGTGGATCAGGCCTGGGGGTCAAAACTAGTGGGATAGGGAGGGGGCTGTTTTGACACAAACCCTTCAGTAAGCAGCAGTGTTCAGTAGAGGCTTTTACCTTGTTCTTACCAAGTACCTTGTTCTTAATTTGCCCTAGCCAGCTGAATCAGGCCTCTGCTTAGAATGATTATCATGGTAATAGCAGAGCTCAGTGGGAGGTGCAGACGGTCACCCATTGTCCTGGGTGGGAGGGATAGGGCCTGTAGACACTCACTGAAGCCATGTTTTCATAAATTCAGTCAGATATATACTAGGCGAAGCTTTGAAGTAGAGCTAAGTAGAGATTTTGAGATTCATATTTGTAATGTATGATAATCGACTTTAATAAAAGTGCTTTCAAGGGTGTTTGTCTTTCTCGGGAAACCAAGCCATGTTCGCATGAAAGAATCAAGTTTTTTTTATTTCGTGACGTTTCCCGAATCACTTGTGCTCCAAACAGTCATGGTGACAGAGACAGACGGTAAACCACGGGTCTGATTGGTCGAAAGGAGCAGACATCATACATGGACATCATACGGCAATATTAGCTAAATAACTGCATTTTTTTTCCGCGTTAAGGGAAAGCATCTGTGACGTCCTAAAAACGTTATCGACCTTAGAGACAGGTGGATCCCGTGAATAAAGTTTAGTGGCCTGCTTTATTATTAGTAGTCCCTTAACTTGTTAGCTTTGTCCGCGGTTGCAACAAATGCAATGTGCTCTAAGGCAAGCTTGCCTCGCCTTAAATTGTGATTTACGGACTGTTGTCTTGCATTGAAACTATTAATGTAGGTAGTAAAACAATTTTCATCGTAAACTCCACCTCTATGGCACACGCGGGGAAAACTAAGATATAGACGAAAATAATATTTCCGCATCTGCGAAGAAGTGCAGCAGATGTAGGGTTTTACCGCTGAGGAGAGTAGCTAGGAAGGAACAAAAAAACGAAATCCTGAAAAGACCTCTTGGGGCATGAAAGTATTCGAGGGCGATCTGATGACAGTATGGCATATAAATACTAAACTCAATACCCTTCCCTTGAGGGAAAACGTGCCAATACTTCGCGCGCGAGTCCATGTCTGCGCAAAAATATCAACGACAACACTGTTCATTGAGTGGTATATTACCACACGTTAGCTGACCCCTAAACCCCCAAGCAAAAACGGTATTCATGCCCGTGTTTGAACAATTACCGGCTGATAAACGGCTGAGATAGCGTACTGAATAGTAGCAAACATCTATCTATCCCCATACATCGCATTTCCCTTGGACGTCCTTGCCATTACCTTTTAATATTTAGATATTTCTTTTTCTGTAAATTTTATGGCAAAACAAAAATTTTGGACAATAGCTTGAGTAACGAGTGGCCCTAATAATGTGCAGTGTGTGTGTGTGTTTTATTTTTTGCAAAGAAAAGAGTAAATAGAAACCATTAAAAAAATGGAACAGGCACGGTTCTGAGTCCGATTCCTAAGTCTCACTATTGATAAAACCCCTTGTCTGCATGGCAATTGTTGCAATTAATTGTAAAAGGTGTAGATTTCTCTCACAGATAGATGTTTGATGTCTCTTTTTATCTGTCCATTTTTTCTTATTCCTTCTTTTCATTGAGTTTAATTCCATGTCCATTCGGGGAGGGGGCTGGGTAGAGGGAAGGGCAGGGTTCAAAGTGGTCCCTCTGTGCTTTTCTCTTCCCTCCTTTCGTCGTAGAAATATTTTCCCATTTTATTGGGTTTCTTTTCTACTTCTTTCTTCCTACTGTACATCAATGATATTTACAAGTCCTCTTCGTTATTTGCCTTTTGCCTATTTGCTGACGATACTAGTATAATACTTGGAAATAACAACCTAACGGAACTCGAAACACTTGTTAATCGCGAGCTTGGCAACGTCAACGAATGGCTAAAGGTCAACAAACTGTCTTTGAACATAAAAAAATCAAACTTTGTAATCTTTCGTCTCCGGCAAAAGAATATGCCCTTCATACCTAGGATTATAATTCTTGACTCCATGACTAACACCTACGCAAACCTTGAAATGAAAGATTATGTAAAATATCTTGGCTCAATGATTGATTCAAATCTTTCATGGAAATACCACATCGAATCTATCTGTCACAAAATCAGCAAGTCGATAGGAATTACAGCTAAGGTTCGACATTATGTCCCTCCTCGTGTTTTACTTTCAGTTTATAATTCATTAATTGTCCCTTACTTGACTTTTGGTATTTGTGGTTGGGGAAACTGTGCCTTGACATTTCAAAGAAATACCGTTAACTCTACAAAAACGGGCCTTACGTCTCATTTACTTCAGTAAATTGCCTTCCCCTGCCTAGCCTATTTTTCAGAGATTGTAGCTATTTATTGTATGATATCGACAGACAGACAGCACCAGTTAGTATACTCAATCAGTTCGTTAAAACAAGTCAGATTCATAACTACAAAACAAGATCTGTCTCTAGCGACTCGTTTTATGTTAAGTTCTCTGGAACCGATAAAATGTATGCTTTTTTCACGAGAATCGATGCCCAATTTTGGAACTCTATTCCTTATTCGATTAAAGTACTTAAACTTTCGTCCTTTCGTAAAAAAAATATAGGGCTTATTACTAAATTTCTTGCGGTCAGAAGATGATTATGTCGAAGTCTCCCGTCTTATTAAGTTATTTAATACTTTAAGTTATCCTCTCTTCGTAATCGGTATGTACTTGCCTTATTTTATGTTAGTTTATTTTATTTACTGTATAGTAGTGTCTTCCCTGTTATTTAGTCCATCTATATATAAATCTTGTACTTGTAATATGTCTTCAGCTCCCCCCGCCTCGATTAGTTTATAAGCTATTTGCGGGTGGGAAAATAATGTTAATAAATAGTTATTTTTCCAATTTTCAATAAAATTTGTTGTTGTTGTTTCTGTTGTTTCTCTGTTTGAGTCTTTTCCCATCTTTTCATCCCTGCCTATTAATTTCATGTAGTATTACNCCTCTCTTCGTAATCGGTATGTACTTGCCTTATTTTATGTTAGTTTATTTTATTTACTGTATAGTAGTGTCTTCCCTGTTATTTAGTCCATCTATATATAAATCTTGTACTTGTAATATGTCTTCAGCTCCCCCCGCCTCGATTAGTTTATAAGCTATTTGCGGGTGGGAAAATAATGTTAATAAATAGTTATTTTTCCAATTTTCAATAAAATTTGTTGTTGTTGTTTCTGTTGTTTCTCTGTTTGAGTCTTTTCCCATCTTTTCATCCCTGCCTATTAATTTCATGTAGTATTACTCGAAATGGCTTGAAATGAAACCCAAGAAAAAAAAGAACTCCTTTAATTTACTTTAAGCTGCTTTTCAACTCCAGTAGCACATATCCATCGCCATTATTCAGACCTCTTATTGGCCGCACATCGCCAATGAAATACGAACCACCTCCTCCTGCTTGACTACCAAGCGAGGTTGCAAACACACCTCCACCAGAATATCCCCCTCCGCCCCCTCCAAAGTAGTTAGATGCTGCACCTCCCCCACCCAAACCACCATTCCCATTGCCAGTCCCTCCGAAACCTCCATTCATAAACGACAGACCACCTTGTTGACACTTTTGAGACGTGCACGCGTTCATGGAAGTAATGAACAGG